AATATCCCATAGTATACGCATACCACGTGTTTTGTTTGTTTGTTTGTTTTTAATATACTCATCGGTTTCTTCCACCTATTGGCCAGTGTGAATAATTCTGCTATAAACGTGGGTGTGCGAATATCTTTAAGTCCCTGCTCTCACTTCTTTTCGGTAGGCATATACCCAGAAGTGGAGTGTTTTTAAACATGTGATAATTCTAGGTTTAACTTTTTGAGGAATTGTCATACTACTTGGTATTTAGTTATTTTTTTTTATTAATAAACTTTGTGTTAGTTCAGTTTTAGGTCAGGGAGGGGAAAGCACAGATGGTTCCCATATACCATGGTCCCCACGCACGCAGGAAACTGCACAGAGTTGCTCTAAGCAGTTGGTGACTCGAGTGCTTCAACTGAGGGCACAGGAGTGACCCTGGCAGGTGAGCCCGGTCCTGTGGGAGCTCGAAGCCCCGATTACCTGAGGCGTCACGAGAGCCTTCTTCCTTCCCTGGCCTATGGGCACGAAAGTGACATAAAGGTCGTCCTACAGGAACACCTGATGTGTAAATGTGGACACTCACACATGCCAACGCACGAGAGGGATTAACACGCACCTGATCCAACCCACTTCTTCCCCTTCATGGTGAAGACCCTTTACAAACTGAAAATCTTCTTTTCCAAGAATGCTGTGCAGAGTAACTAATCAGTGCTTGACAGGGATGCCTTAGTTTGTGAGGGTTAAGTGATAATAAATAATCACATCATTCACGACCTCGTCAGCCCTAGCATCAGCCCTGGTATCCACTGCACAGCCCCCTGAAGATAGCTTTGAATTAATTCCTGATGAAACTCTCTCATCACCAATCGCTTTTTTTTTTTTTGCCTTATTTTTTCTGATTTTGTGGTTTTTATTTTAAACATATGCACCGAAATCTATCTCCAGGATTTGGCACTCTGCTAAGTTTACGCAACAGATATGGCTCCTTCATTATGCAGCTGCTTGGGAACTGCTTTATTAACAGTGATTATTCTCAATTCCAGAGAATTATAATAAAAGCACTGTAAGTGATACGTTGATTGATAACATTTACCATTCCCAAGGAACATGCTATAAATCACAGTGCTTACTCACAGATTTAAAATGCCCAGAAGTTTCTCAAACATTTCCTGGACAGCATTACTCATGTTATTTTTTACACTCACATTGACTTAATGAAACAAAAGGGGAAAGAAAAGGTTTAAAAATACCTACAATGCAAGTTTAGAAATGTAGGAAATGCATATATACTCACTCACACACATATGCACATTTACATGAATGTTCACATATACCCAAGGGTGTATTTGTTAAGCCAAGCTCTCCTACTTTTTTCTATTAACATGGAACCAATTATTCTTGTCCTCAGCAGAGAGGTGACTGGCTGGTTCCAAAGCCGAAACAATAACATAATAACATGCTGATCCTCAGAACTTGTCAGTCTTGAGAACTCATAACCCGCGCAGACCTGAACTAGCTGACTTGGTCTTTTTTTTTTTTTTTTTTTTTTTTTTTAGCGGTGACTCCCTTCTCACACGTGTTTTGTAGAATCAAGTCACATTTAAGTGTATGGGGGGAGGGGGAAGGTATTCCCTTTGAAAGGAAGCAATATGTTTCCCACCCCAGGAAAACAAATGTTTCCCTTTGGAGAGTATCTAAAAGTACGGCAAACAAACGTACGAAAGGACAGTCCTTGTCATTTTAGCCTAATAACAACACCGTGAGTCAGCCCTGTTGAAACCAAGGGCGACGAATGACTGGTATTAGTGACTCTGGAGTAAAATGGTCAGAACTAGGACATCGACTTGGCTGGACTTCAAATGCCACGGTGATGAGAAGACTTCAAAATTCTCTTCTCTAAGAGATGAATCAACGTGTTAAGTGGAACACCAAACACCTTAAATGAGTGAGATGTAGCACTAAATGTTTAATGCACTTTTCTACCTTTAACATCCCTCCTCTCAGTCGCAGGAGCTAAAGCAGCGATGCTCAAAGGGGGGTCCCCAGACCTTTCTCAGCATCGCCTGGACACTTGTTAGAAAAGCAGATTCCCAGTCCGCCATAGACCTACGGAGTCAGAAATCCTGGGCACGAGGCCCAGAAAGCTGTCCTGTAACAAAGCCCTCCGGATGATTCTGATGCAAGCTCAAGTTTAAGAACCGTGAATTAAGGCACCACCAAAATGCAGAATCTAACCCCCTCCCTTCCTCAATTCTAATTCTCAAGACGCTTTTGTTAAAAGTCATTCATGTGCGTTTCGGCTATTTGTGATGATCACCTCAGGAAATTTTTACCACTGTTTTTGTCTGAGAAAAGAAACCTTAATCAAAACTTACATGTAATCTTTCCAGGTCCTGTGCTGGCTTCGAGTCTTAGGAGGCAGGGAACTGGGCGAAGGGAGAGATGAGAAGGCCACAGCAATCCATTCAGACATGAACCCCAAAGCTCTGTGGGGCAGCCTCGTGACAGGTCATTGAGTGTCCACCTGATTGGGGAGGAAGAGCTGTCCATTAGCAGAGGGAGCCTTGCCTGTCAACGTTCCCCATCCCTCCTGCTGTCCTGCCCCTTCTCGCCCCCGATTTATGACCTCTCAGCTAACTTACTGTGCCCTTGGCTGTGTGCCCCCGGACCCATCCACAGCAACAGAACATGATACCCAGTACTCGGGAATAGGTGTTCATGCCCGGTGGAAGCCCTATTCCCGAGTACTTCCTCCTGGTGAGCACCCCTCACCGGGCGCTGTCCCGAGCCCAAAGGCAGCTAGGGGACGTTTCTCCTTTACTTCATCTCTTGAATGTTTTCTTTCAACCAATCAAAACACCTGTGTTTAAAAGACACACGTGGCTGCAGTAACTAGGCAATGCAGGAAACAAATGATAAATTCGAGAATTCTGACTGAAATGAAATGATTCTCTGAGGCTTCACCATGTTCATTTTTGAACAAATATTACTTATTTTTTCTCTGATGCTAAATTAGTGCATATGCCTATTACAGAATACTTGGAAGATATGGCAAAACATAAAGATCAGCTTGGCCCTGATAAATCACTGATGATGTTTTGTTATGATCCTTTCAACTGAAACTCCTGGGCTAGATATATCTCAGCATTCAGATTTGTTTGAATTTTAGAGAGTATTATGATGAACTACCACCTATCATATAATACCCCCTTCAGAGTCTGGAGCAGCACTCCACAAAATCATTAAATATTTCTGTGGCAAAACATATGCACAGTCCTATTAAGTCAGATAAAACAGGGCCTCACATTAGTTCAGGTCAGGTTTTTCTATCAAAGAAGTTACCAAGAAAAAAAACACACACACACACACAAATAAAACAAAAAAAAACCTTTCGGGTTTTGGAACCTTTTGGATTCAGAATTGAGAAAAAGGGATTGTGGACCACTATTCTCTTTTCATACATGCACAAGTACTCAGAGTTTTGTTTCTAATTTTTCATGCATATTATAAGAAGGTGAGATTTTCCTAAAAATCTTCTCTTTTCCCTTTATGAGTATTTAACCCATGGGATAATTGGTATGGAGAGAGTCACAATTTTTATAAGCTAATAAGAAAATATTGAAGACATATTTCTTTATTGCATAGAATGAAATGATTTCTCTCTTCCCCTTATCTACAAACTCAATTTCTGCCTAGTGGGATATAGCATATAGTATAAAATGGCTGAAGTAGAGAGAGAAAAAGAGAGATGTCAAAAAATTTCAATTTAATTTGGAAGTGAGTTGAATTGATCTTCCCAAAAATTTTATCTAAAAGTAAGGAATGTTTCTATCAAAATTATCAAAAGTCCAAAAGATAAAAGGCTATCAAGAAGTCGACCATTTCCTTCCCTGTGGCTTCTCTTAACAATTTAAACTTCATTCTGCTACTATTAGGTGTCTGGTGGGTAGAATGACTTCTAAATGATTTTTCTTTGCCAGGATCAAATATTGTCTAAGTATACCAGGACTATAGGATGTGAAAACTAAAGTGGTAACAGAGAAAGAAATGACCCATCAAAGAAGATACTTTGTTTTTTCCAAAGGATCCAACTGCAGTAGGGGTGGGGGCATATACAGAGTTAACCACTAGCAATAACAGAAATGACTGTCAGAAGCTCTTCAGATACTCACACTACCCAACTAGCATTTCTAAAGCTAATTACAAATTTGGATTCTCTCATTTAAAAATATACTTCGAAGCAGCCCACTTCAGTTTCAATGCTGAACCAAAGCCTGTGCAGTTGGCACATTATCAAAGCAAAAGAAAAAGGAAAAAAAAAAAAAAAAAAAAAAGCACTGCTTGAACAAAGTTGCCACTTTCAATGTCACTAAATCTTCAACTGCAAAAATACCACAAGCTGAAAATTATTAATAGTAATGCCATGTGGTTATATTATGTTACATTTACACGAGTTTATAGGTTCCCAAGCCCTAAGGGACTCAGACCTCTGCCACTCACAGTGGCTTTGTTCTCGTGGGCAGGTCACTCACTGACTCTGAGTCTCACACGGTTCATGGGTTCTTGTGAGGATGAACTGAAAAAGCAGCCAAGAGAATTTTTGCAAACTATAAGTCATACACAAAATGTTGGGTATCATTATTCTTTTTACTAACCCCTTTGTGAGGCATAGAGGGATGAATCCTCATTCCACAGTTAAGAAAACTGACAACAGGAAGATACAGAAATAAAAAACCCAACCACCCCCAAACCAACCCCCCCCCCCACCCACCCCACCTGAATCAGGCAATTTGAGTTTTATCTTTGAAGTAGCCAGGAGCTGGCTGAGTGACTCTGTCCCTGATTTCTACAGTAATTTGAAGGGGTTGGAAAAAATGATTTTAAGGTCTTTTAAAAAAATATATATTTTATTGATTTTTCACAGAGAGAAAGAGAGAGGGACAGAGAGCTAGAAACATTGATGAGAGAGAAACATTGATTAGCTGCCTCTTGCACTCCCCCCCCCCCCCCCCCCGCACCCCCCCTCACACACACTGGGGACGTGCCTGCAACCAAGGTACATGCCCTTAACCGGAATCAAACCTGGGACCTTTCAGTCCACAGGCTGACGCTGTATCCACTGAGCCAAACCGGTTTCAGCGATTTTAAGGTCTTCTTGAGGCAGATGGCTCTGGGACCTGTGACTTGGCCCTGCTAGAGATGGGATGGGCTTAGGAAAGACCCTTAGGAAGCAGTCCCTCCCGGAGGCCAAGGGCAGCACCCACCATCGGAGGCTGAAGTGCTGGGTCAGGGCCCTTGGCAGCGTCCTACTCCCAGGGATGGGATAGGTTCCAGCTAACTTTTTTTGTGTAATTAAGGGAAGATCGGGGGCATCCTATGCAAATGGCCAGGGCTCCTGAGGCAGAGGAAGGAGCCGCTGGACGCTCTTGAAACAGCAGCTCTTTATTAATGGATACAGGTATTTCCCGACTCTGTTAACTGGTGTAGCCAAGTAAGTGCATACTACTGGATTATCCGTGTGGCTCACAGCCCCACTGCTGTTTGGCTATCAGTTTCAAAGCGAGAGTCACCTCCGGGGGCCACCCCCTTTCTTGGCTGAGCTCCTACAGCACTGAGGGGAGATGTCAAAGGGCTACTGTATGCAGTGTGAGTGCACATCGCTTACAATTTCACTTTCCAAAGATCGGGCCACTCACCCGGACCTTTCTAGTGACATTTCCCAGTGCTAACACAACCTCCCGCAATGAGGAAAACGCTCAGGATCCGTGCTGTTCATCGTGGCAGTGACTGGCCACACCTGGCTGTTGGGATCTTAAAAGGTGTCTAAGGGGACAGAGGAACTGAATTTTAAATTTTAACCAACTTACATGGACTGAAGTTCAAACAGCCACGTGTGGTTAGTGGTACCTGACTGGGCAGTGCAGGTCTGTGTGGGCTGCCTCACATGCTCGTTTTCTTGGAGAGATTTCAGACCCCAGAAGCCCATTGGCCCACAGCCATTCATTCAACAAGTACCTACTGACAGAGCAATGATGGAGAAGAGAGTTACGGATACCTTGCGCTCCTGGCACTGCTCAGCTACACTGACGTCCAAACGCCTCACAGAGCCTTGAAGCGTTTCAGCAGACCGCTCTTAGGAAAAGGTGGGTGAGGAGCGACGGTAATGCTACACTAAGCGTGAAAGCGCTTCTTTTTCATTTCTCCATATTTACTGTTACAGAAGCGGGGGAAAGTTTAAAAAAGAGATAGCTGAATGGTCACCATTCATTCACTTACAAATAAAAGTAGCATATCCCAGATATGAGAAATCATCTGTAAGTAATTTCCTCTTTCACATACTTATATTTACTTAAAAGAAAAAGTCAGTGGGACCTGCATTCCTAAGCTAAGAAAAAAAGTAAATGGCATTTAATTACGGCAATAGTCATAAAAGTATAAGTGGGCCTCCAGCTGCACGCGGTGGGCAGAAGAAACGTTTATACCAATTAGCTGTGAAACGATCAGGCTTTCTAGCAGGTACTTCTGGTATAAGTCAGGCTGATTGCATTCTCTGTCCTTCCAACTCAACTCCTAGCTAAGGTTTCCTTAGTTGCTTTCATGGGACCTGATGCGAAAAGCCCTCTTTGCTTTTCCCCAGGAAATTACAGGTGGATGTATTTTTATCTACATCGCAGGTCTAATACCAACAACATAGTTTCTAAGAAACATAAGAGTGGTTTGATTTAGTGCTTTTCCGATTTCCAATATTGCTTCCCATGAATTTTCTGTTATCAATTCTCTTCTACCTAATCACCTCTTTCTACCTTACTGGGATTTAAAGCAATACCAAGAAAAGAAGACAAAACATTCAGAATTGGTTCATACTCTTGTTTGAACCTGAATCCACGAGTGCCTAAATACAAAAGAACGGTGACATCATGCATATTATCATGTTAGCCGAAAGCTTCACCAAGCAAAACAAGCTGACTTTGCTCAGCATCCCAACAGGCTGTACTTGGATGAGAGCAATGAGCCAATCTGACCTCCTGGCTTCAAAATGCCATTCTGGTCCCCCTGCCCAAAGCCACACTATTGATTTTTAGGGCTAATAAATGACTATTGCACATCTACATACCTACCTACCTACACACACATAGACACACCACACACACACAAACACAACACACACACAAACACACACACACACACACACACACACACACACACACACTGCTTTTTTCTCTGGATTGAGTAGAAAGAGAAATTACAGTGGTTAGAAAACAAAGAGTTCAAAATGTAGTTCTAATAATACAAATTGCATTTAGAGACTATCATCTATTAGAAAAGGTCAAATCTCAAATGTTCTGCTGGCCCCATGCTGTATAAAAATATTACTAAGAATTTGGTGACAGCTTCAGTAATAAACATGCTGTGAGTGGCTCTGGAGTCCTTATTCATCATATTCAGAAGCATTAGGTGGAGGAGTCACACACCATTTGGTCAGAAGGGTTTTTAATTGACGTTAATTTTTTGGAAACTACAGAG